AAAGGTTTAATTAGATGTCCAGCAAACTCAGTAAAACAAACTGTTGAATTAATTTGCAGTTTTGGGTTTATTTCAGTTTTTCAAAATAAATGTTGACTCCCTAATGGTTGAGAACATCAAAATAATCTTCTGTAGAGTAAAATCCCACATTCAGTGAAGCCTTCACTAATTCTTTTCCCCATCTGTGTTATGACACTGCAAGTTAAGCTAGGAAGAGAAAACAGTAACTGCATCTGAAAAAGAAGCCAGTGATTACATTTGAAGAGTGTACTACAGTACTTAACTTTTGTTCACCTATTGGAATTATTGAGTATGCAAAGGGTAATTATTAGGAAATATTTTGGGCTTTTTCCTGATGCTCCTGACTTTAACATGAGGCTCAGCCACATTTTCAATCAGAGCCGTTCTTTATGTCTTCTACAGTATTTGTGACGGACCAACAACACATCCAGGGTTTCTCAGCCCATGAACACAGAATATAGGCACCGGCTCCAAGAACGTTTGTGAGTTTGCTTTTTGCCTTATGAGCCATTTCAGTGTATTTGGCCCCATGTTTTTGATCATTATCTCGGTGATGATCCATTTTTAGTTCTTTGGTAGAGTTTACTATTACTTCAAATATCCTGGTTTGGAAAAGTCAAGCCTACAGCATCACAGATGAGATGACAAGGTGCTTTTCCACATAATCATCCTTTGTTTCACCCCAGACTTATCCTGACAGACTGTTAATAATTAGCTTATTGTCTTGAGATAATATCTCATTTTCTTGACAAAGTTGCTTCATTATCTCAAGATATTTTTGCTGTACTTTCATAGACCAGCTGCTCATTAGACCATATATTTTGACCAGCTCAAAGAAAACAGGCTATTTTCTCCAAAATGTCACACTTTTCCTTCAAAGTTAATTTCATGGCAGCTCCATCTCCAAAACAGCTTTTGCTTATAATTAAGGGTCATGCTTCTTAATGGTTTCAGATCCTTCATCCTGTCTGTGTTGCTGCTCCAGGCCTGAAAGACTGCTGCTCTCTATGCACTCAACTCTCTCAGCTTATTTCCCTAAATGTCAGCTAAATTGGACAAATGAGGGAAATGTGCTGCTGGAAGAGAAAAGAAGTTGGCGCCAAAAATATAATACATATACCACAAGCTGATGGTGGCAGATGTGAACCTGTATGCTGGGGAGAAGATTTGCACAGTTGTGTTGATAAACTTAGTCAGCCAGCGATGCCCTCTCTCTCAGTTCTTGTGCAGACAGGAGTTTGAATATGTAATTACCGTGTTGTAAATAGGCACCAGGACTGTGTAAATAATACAAAATGTGTGTTTTTTTTTTTTTATTTACAGCACATAATTGGAGGCATATTGTAAACAGTCAGAGTACAATGCATAAACAAGTGACAATTTAAATGTATTTGAATATGATTTGGGGTATTAAAAAAGCATAAATAAGCTCTTATAGCAATAGTGATTCATTGTGAAATTATGCATTTTTATTATCGTTTTCAATATCTACAGACATAATGCAAAATCATATATTTTTTGTACAGCATGTGTGTCAATGTAAAGTCCATATTGTAATAAAGTGTCAACTGGAACCTCAACATAACATTCAGTGGCTTCCAAATGTCTTTGTTACCATTGAAATTTTTCACACTCTGTCTGGTAAAAAACAAACTCCAGAGAAAATGTTCAAGGGTTATGATTACATTTCCAGCGCCCTGTAGCCGCTCTGAAATCAACACGTTTTTGTAAGAAGCTCCATATAGAGTCCTGCTGCTGATCAAGTGCCATCGCAGTCTTGCTTTAAGAACAGAGAGTCAACACTTCCCATCTTCTCGAAGTTGACTCAGTCTGTTTGTTGTATCAATGTTGTGACATCAGTGCATTGGACCTGAAGCTCTGCGATCATTTCTATTAAAGATCAGTGAGTCATCAAGAGGGGGGAGCTCCACCAAACTCAGTTTGGTAAAAAGTAGGCTGGTCCTCTGTCAGCTGTTGCGCCTCCACTGTAAAAGATATACATTGACAAAATCTTGAAATCCTCATTTAAAGTTGTGTAATTAATTTCATTCAAATAAAAAGATTAAGAACTCGACTTGGTCCAGACTCTCTACTATTTAGCATCAAATAAAATATTTTAAGGGTTGGTACTGAAGTGGTGAAGTGATATTTTTTGCAGCGTGGCCGCTGTCCAGATCCTCCCAGTACTTTCTCGTCTTTTGCCCCTTATGCACCAGTCAGCTGGGAGGCCCCAGCTCAGTATAAAAGCCAAAGCCAGAGGAGAAAAATAACTTTTCCTTCAAAGTTGCAGCAGCTGGAAGTCTTATTTGGAGTTAACGGACCCGCGGGCCGCTGCGTAAAGGTGGTGCGCACTTAACGGGAGGCGTAAAGTTTGACCAGAGGCAGAGATTAGAGAACCAAAGTAAACTCGATTGCAAGGTTCAACTTACTGTACAAACAAAGAACTTTTGCGAGTCTAAAGTCCGCTGAAGATGGCAGAAGGTGACTTTTACACGATGGGAAACCGGCAGCGGTTTCCTAGAGACCCGTTTGGAGAATCGCCGTTCCGGGATCAGTCGCCGTTCCGGGATCAGCTCGCATCCCGATTCATGGAGGATGAATTCGGGATGCCGCCTTTCCCCGACGACCTCGGGATGGACTGGCCCGGTTGGGCTCGACCCGGCCGGCTTAGCACGCGCCTCGGCCAGTCGCCCTTTGGCGGCGGTTTACGCACAGGGTTCCCCACGCGTCACTCCACGGGAGGCCCCGCTCTTTACACCAGCAGGTACGGCGAGCCGTCCCCACGCAGCTCCCCCACGACCACAGGTGGCGAGCCCTGGAAGGTGTGCGTGAACGTCCACAGCTTCAAGCCAGAGGAGTTAAACGTTAAGACCAGAGACGGTTTTGTAGAGGTCTCAGGTGAGATGATGCTGACCAACAAAATGGTTTAGGGTAAAAGTTTGCTGAAAAGGGGAGATGAACCTTTCACCGGTGGGTTGAAACTGTCATATCTTATGCTCAGGGATTAAACTTTTTACTTTGTTTTGGCGCTTATAAGAGTGTAAATCCTTCTCTGTGACGAACTTTAACTTTTCATCGTGAACTTATATGTATATGTAGAAAACTGTCAAAGTTATTGTGTAAGTTCAGGAATGTACAGGAAGGATTTTTGAAATTAAGATTTGTTAAAAAGTTAGAATCAATAAGATATAACTTTCATAACTTTCTTGATTGGACCCTGACCAACTCTTATCCTTTTCTACTTGTCACATTCGTAACCAAAACCTTTCACACTTAAACCAATGCATTAGTTTATTTTATAGTTTGCTTTTCTGAATTAGTAACATTTTCATCAACATCTTTAAATCTATATAATTTTGTTTACAATTTCCTAAAAACCTCGTCTCACACTTTGTTTCAACTAATTGTGGTTCTGATCACCTTTTGGGCCTGTTGGTTACCATAAAATATAACACCAGCACTCTGTCCAAACATTGAAGTTTATGCAGATGACCTTTGAACTGTGATGAGGTTTGTATCGAACATAATGCAAACACGACATGATATGTTTCTGGTCAGAGTAATTGCCTGATAGGAAAATAGAGAAGTGTACAGATCAAAAATGTGCCATAGTGGTTTATGCTAATGTTACCCTGCTCCTGTTCACAATGACCTGTTTCGTATTGAACAGTTAATTTGACCAGAAACACTTTAAATGCTCTGCTGTAATGCCTCCTATTTTTCTTCTGCACAAAAAATAATTGTTCTACACATGTTGTTGTGACAACCGCTTAAAGTTAATCAAGTAGCATTTGCAAAAACACTGCACTATTTTGAGATTGCAGTTGTAAAAGTTGAAGCAGATGGTAGAACTTCACTTTCCTTGTGAGCTAAAACTAATTTATATCATATTAAAGTACAGGAAAGATGCTTATGACTTCTTAATAGATCTTCATTAAGAAATTATGAAATGTCCTTTCATAACTTTGCAGTTAATTAATCACCGCTTTAAGGTAAACTTTTTGCTTTCAATAAATCTATCAGAAAAAAAAACAACATTAAATTTGGGAGATAAGAACTAAAGATGTTTGTAGGTAAAGGCATAAAATGAAATCTCAAAAAACAGCAGATGAAGGGCCGAAACAGACTGCTACTCTGAATGACAACAGTCTTATGGCTTCTCTCAGAAGCTGTGCAGGTCTGTCCGGGAAGTGAAAAGGCCTCGGTGGTATAACATGATCTCTGCATTGCTGTTGAGTCCTTCTATAAAAGAGGAAGACAGATTTTTGGAATCTGGGACTTGGAAGTGGTTTGGCAGATCATAAAGCTCGGACACCTGTTTGAGATTCTTGGAGAATCACTCCCTCAGCCGCTCATGAGCTCAATTTAGATTTAAGGCAAGGCCCGTGACAACAGTCTCTGTTTACAATAAGATGGGAAGCTTGACGTCACTCAGAGAATGTTCTGGAAGGAAAGAGAGCCAGGTCTGTAACCCAGCAAAACTCTTACAGGTTTTGTCCCTGACTGCAGGAGTAAGATGCAGAAACTTCCTCCTGTCGATGCTTTATAAGATTAATTCCAGGGATACCCAGTTTTAAAGGGGGCACTGAGGACAGCTGCCTTCCTCCTGACCGTTCAGCTGTGAGTTTTTTATAAACACATTGTTGGTATGTCAGTTGGGTTATTCTATCGGCCCTATGTCTGCTCAGCCTGTTCTAAATCTGTGGCAGGGTAGGGAATAAAACCGGTAAGATGTTTTTAGTCTGTTAAAGGCAAAGATAATCTAGAGTTTGCTACAATTCAGAGATAAGTACAATTGCTCCATCTCATTTTGACAAAGGAGAGTGAAGTGGAACGTTGGACACAATTGTCTTTCCTAGCAAAATTGCACCAAATTAATTCAAATCATCTGAATTAAAAATGTGGAACTGAAAGAGCTTTCAAGCTCTCAATTACTCTGTTCAAGTGTTGTTCAACTAATAGTTCTTGGCTTTGCAACATATTATATACAGAGTTAATTAGTCAACCCTCTACAAATAAATCTCATTGGAAGTTTGGAGTAGATGGCGAAGCGAGCAAAGTGCCTACTTTTTAAAGCACAGCACAATTTTCAGAGAAGCACTTCTCTTGATTATATTTAAGAACTCAACATTTTAGTCCCTGATACGCTTTTCCTTCTATCTTCTAAAAAAGAAACCCAACCACCTTTTCATAAACTTTGGTTATAGTAGTGTTCTTTCTTTGGTAAAGAAAGAACACTATCTACATTTTTTTTTTTTGCATTTGAGTGATGGGAGTATGTAAAAGGAAAATCTTTGATTCTATTTCCACAAATGGTTTAGAAACAATCAGAAGCGCCAGCAAGGCTTTGAAGGCGTGTAGTTTCCCAAACTGGACTGGAATACTTTTAAGGCTCAATGAACCAAAAATGCTTGATTTATAAACTTTGTTTTTCTAGAATAAATTCTTGGAGTATGTAGTTCAAAACAGTCGTCCAGATTAAAATATAGTTTGATCCTTAAAACTGTGATAGTTTTTTAAGACACCAAGCAAAGCTCAATCTTTTACATCTTTTGTCCGAAAAAACTGTTAGTTCTATCCGTCCATCCGTCCATCCATCCATCCATCCATCCATCCATCCATCCATCCATCCATCCATCCATCCATCCATCCATTTATCCATCCTGGGAGATAATCTGCTAAGTACATCTATGTTTGGCTTTAGCAAACATGAATCTAATCTCTGAAATAAAATTGGATTAGAACTGTGTAAAAATTGTTCTATTGATCCAAAAATACAGACTCTGTTATGGTTATAATAGCTCTATAAATAATTGATACTTAATGCTAATATGTTATTTTTTGTGACTTGAGTTGTTTCTTTCTGCTTTACAGTTGGTAGACTGCTATTTAAAGAAGATAAGCATCTGGACTTGCAAGTTGTTTAAGCTAATTACACTTTGCCTTTTGATTGAATGTTGACTAATTTGTTTAAAAGGATGACAGCATTTGCTTTGGAGAAGTCTGGCACCCTAAGAGTAACAGTCTTTTGACAATTGCTTTCTGTTTGCATTTTGAATCGGTGTTGTGTTTTTGTGTTTCCTCTTAAGTCCAGTGAAGACACAAACCTAACTGATTTATTTCATTTTCAAAGAAATGTTTTGTGCACAAAAATGCTTAAGTGGGCTAGACTAGTGAGAGCTTGTCATACTTTCAACCCCAAGCATCAGTTCTTTAACTGTGAATGTTGGGGACACCCTCTCTCTAAACACAGAGTGAGGCGTTTTGGGAAACATTGAGGAGGAAGAATCTTGTAGAGTAACTCTCTCTGGGGATGAGTTTTACATCTGAAGTCATGCCGAGTTCTTCATAATAATCCTATGACCTCACTGATGATCATAACTCATCCATTCCTCCTCTGGGGCTTCAGCCTTAGTTTCTAGTGAAGTGCAGCTCTGCTAGCAGGTAGAGACGTCACAGCGGGGGTGTAAACACATAGTTTAACCTGACGTGCTCAAAGGGGCTGAGCGCAGTGACAAGCCACACTCCTCCCAGCAGCGTTGACATTTTAGCTGTCGAGGAGCAGCTGCTGGTCAGCTAAAGCAGTTTGCCTGTAATGAACAGGGAGAAGGTGGAGCAGGGTCAGTCCAGGACTGCATGTTCCTCCCAGCAGGAGATCCATCTGTGTCTGCAGAAGAATCATTCCGAGAATCAATCAAAGAAGACGGGGTTGATGTAGTTTGGCTTAAAACAACAGCAGAGCAGGGACTGAGCAATGGAAACTGTGTGTGTGCCAAGTGAACTTCAGTTAAATCAACACCTCTTTCACTGACGTCCATGTTTGAAATTTAAATGGTCACAGGTGTTGGGTTTCCAATGTGCAGTCCATGAGATTGTGTAATCACAGGTCAATGTCACGGTGGCGCCACCAAGAGGGCGACCTTGGGGGCAATTAGCGTCTTCAAGCTTGCTGATCTTTGTTTTTCCCCCAACCAGGAAAACATGAAGAAAAACAGGAGGAAGGAGGGATTGTGACAAAGAATTTCACAAAGAAGATACAGTGAGTATAACCGAGAAGGTTTATCTGCAATGATAAGAGCTCTCTGTCTGCACATTGTCAAGAAAGAGGGTTTGGCTACAGTTATATTTCACAGCAAAAGAAAAAAAAAATACAGTAATTAAGCATTGATTTTACCCTCCCTTAATAAAAGCATAGCTCTGTTTAGTGGAGAACAGGTTGATGAGCTTTAATGACTTATAGATTGACTTTATTTAACATTCATCAGAAAAATATTAGAGTTTAAGTTACTGACAGATAAAACTGAGTGAATACTGAAGTTAATACACAATGTTGGCTTTAGTTTTCCGTAATCAGATGTTTCCTGTAAGATTTAAGCAATTCTTGCCAAAAACTGAAGGAAACTCTTAGAACTGGTTATAGATATGTAAATGTGGAAGGAATCAAACTTTGATGAGGATCCTATTTATTTTCTTTGAACTTGTCATATTTTACAATAAAAAGGCAACATCTCAGTGTACTTTTAGTTTTATATGAAGGAGTCAGATAAATATCGTTCTTTAATATTGCTTGCCGCCAAAGTCTTTTATGTGTTATTTCTGAATGTCCAGAAAGTACAAAGTTCCAGTTGGACAATGAAAGGATTTGAGACATAATTTCTTTGTGTTTCCTTTTTTTCTCTATGGTTGCTATTGTATTACTAAGAGAAAAGGGGCTCTAGGTTAAATCACAGCTGGCAGAAAATAAATAAAACATCACAGGATAATTACACACCTCTGTCATTAATTAGGGCACACTTTGTATGTTGTTGCTCTGAAAAACAAATTATGTGGGTCTAAGTGTCAGAAAAAGGTTGTGTGATTTTTAAAATTATATGTCCTGTGATGCCCCTAAAGGATATGTGTTCCTTTAGATGTTGTACTATTTGTATGCTGCTGGTGTGTCCAAACAGAGATAGTATAATGTTAGCTGTTAGCTGTTTCCATAGTTCAGCACACTTAAATCAGATGAAGGGTTCATGCAGGACTCTGCATGCTGAGGAGGTAATTCAGTCAATGACACTACCTATTTTTGAGCAGAGACACATCTAAAAGATGCAGGATATTGACTCTTAAGCATTGGAGTTGAACAACTCGGGAATACTGCATGTATGTTGGGATCAAAGGTGTAGAATTTATGGTCTTTAACTGCTTTACAGCAAATTATTGCCTGCAGTTTATTGTTTTTCTTTGCTTTGAGTTTTTTTTTTCATATTTAAGGATCAACTCCCCTCCTAAATGATTTTGTGAGATAGTTATAACCTGGAATTAAAGGAACCATAGCTCTATACACATTTATTTTCTTGCTTGGTTATTAAAGAAAATCTATTGCGAAATAACAGGGGCTAGACAAGTGTGTGGCTGCAGGGGCAATCAAATTTTTGGCACTTGCTCCTTTCCTACACTATGCATATAGTGTTGCAAAAGATTCCCTCGCGTTATTATCTGTTGGGCCGTTTCTGCAACTTTGGAGGAGCGCTTGAATAAATTCTGCAGCAGTGAAGCTTATGTGCAACATGGGTTATCTGAGTGTCCTCTCACTCATGTAGCATAATGTTTCAACATATCTGAAGAGTCTGTGGTAGTCTGGCTATGTTGGAGATCAGATAGTGTATGCTACGGCCTCAGATTCACAGAATAGTAAAAGGATTCCTAGCTCAGCTCAAGAAAAACAGTCTCAGTTCATTTGAGGACACTGGATTGCTGCAAAACCTTTAAACTTGCACCTAAAATCAGCTTAGCTGCATTTCAACATAAAATCCATCAGTTATAATACTGTTGGTGTTTCCACAATGTAGTGCCTGCTTTAGGAAGATTTAAGTTAAAGTTTTGATCAGGTCTCTCTTAAAAAAGAGATTTTTATTTAATCTCAATGAGACATACCTGGTTAAATAGGGGTTACATTCATTCATTAAGTTAATTTCTTATGCCTATAAGGATTGGTAACAAAGATAGCTAAGCTGTTCCTTTAAGTCCATAAATATCCATACACTGTCTAAACCAGTTTATCCTTGCAGGGTGGCGCAGGGGGACTAGTTCCTATTTCCAGCAGTCATTGGTCGAGGGGTGGTGGGCATCATATGATTATATATAGCAGGAACTTTTTCAAATAATTGCTTTAAGGGAAGAGCGAAGGATATCTTTGATTCTGCTTTAAGACCAGATGACAAAGCAAAGAAACATTCCAACCAATTATTTAAGTTATGCTATTCTCTTAGCAGGGCCACTTATAAAAAGTCTGTGCAGATTGGGAGACTCCTCCACAATGTGCCCATGTTGCAGCTCCTTCAAGCCAAACTGGCAACACAGACAGTTACCTCAACCTGCCTGTCTCTGCATCTTGTCCCATTTAATTGTGCAGTAGGAGGACTTCAAACACGGAGAGCCAAATCCTTGGTGTGAATCAGCCTTTTACAGGCTCGTCATTCGAGTTCTGCTAATATTCTGCTAGCTAATTAAGCAGGTGCCCTGCAGCCCTGCACTATTCATATACAAAATTGGAACTTCATCAGATTGGGTCTGAGTATGGCTCCTGAGTTAATAAAAACCTCAAGTCAGTGACAGGCTAAATATTTAAAGGGTTGGAAGAGAGAGAAGTGGGGGATGGGATGATAACAGGTCATGTATAAATAACTGCCCCCAATGCAGAAATCCACTGGCTAACCACATAGCCTGATAAGCACTTTTGAGTTACGTGTGTAGTACAGCAGAGACTGTATGTTTAACTAAAATAGCAAAGGTCATGCCACCAGTTTGGCAGTAGTTCAGGTATTTAAAACAAAAAACTAATCAATAATTATCAATGTCAACTGATCCCCCTGCCATAGACCAGAGTCTAACCATGAAGTTTGTGTGTAACTCGTTTCAAACAAGCAAGAAAAACATCAGTTATTAACCAAAAAATGTTCAAAGCTGGGGGCAAAGGTAGCAGGACATTTACTTCCCCAACAACACATAACTGTGTCTCAAAAGATACGTGATAACCCTGGATGAAATGTCTGCTAGAGGTTCCACTCACATGCATACACACCTTGTTCTGTTTATTGTCTCCCCGGGGTTCAGAATCTCTACGAGGTAAAAGCTTGCTTGATGGTTTTCTGGCAGCTGTGCAAAATCAATGCCTGAGATAAACTGTACACTTGCCAAAGTCAAACACGCTCCCCAAACTGGAGACAGATGAGGTCTGTGCTCGGGGTCGACATCACGGACCACCAGAGTGATTTGACTTTGTCAGAAGTCGAGTCTTTGCTCTGTAGAAATTGGCTGAGTGAAGGTGGTGTGTAAACTCATAAAGGTTATTAGCATTTTTTTTACTGGCTCACACCCACCTTCATTTAAGTCTTAGCTGCATCTTGTTTTGTCACCAGAGTGTATGCTACAGTGAGTCTATGAATAGTAATATCAGGCTGTAGCTTTTTATGCAGACTATAGTATTTTTGCACATAATTGAAAGAGGTATGAAATCTACTGTACACAAGATAAAGAGCTCTACATGGTTATTGAGGAAAAGTGTGTCCAACGTCTTATTCCTATTTATTAATCTTTTGCTGCAGCAGCATAATCCCACACTGAAATATTTAGGGAAGAAATCAACTTTTGACTTCAGTATGCTTGTAAGAAAAGAAAATTTGAACTACTGTATATCATATATGACACAATTACCGGTAATGGCACAACTAGCAACTCTTGAAGAGAAGTATGAAACTGAATCATTCTTTATATTTTTTACACCTTTAGGTTGCTTGAGCCTCCAGAAGTGTTTATTTCTATACAATCCTGGGCTTCCTGTTTCTCTGGGGTGTAAATATGATGATAAAAAGAGGCCCATTTCTCTTAGCCCTTCTTCAAAGTGGAAAAGACAGTCGATGGAACATGTTTTTTTTTTTTTTGCAGATGTGTGTTGATGTTTGAGACCTTAAGCAGAGGAAAGTAGGAGTTCTGCCTGAAAGTTGCATTATTTGCACTCATTTGCCTACGTTTTTTTTTTCCTCTGTCTTTTCACATTGAATTTTGATAAATCAGAAAGTTAATGCAATTTAATTTGTAATTTTAAGTTTGGCATGTTGTCCAGTCCTAATGATAAAGGATGAGATGGTATGTGAAAAAGCAGGTATTCCACCATACAGTAGTGGCTTGTTTCAAAATGGGATAGTGAAAAGCTCAGTATGTTATTTTAAAAAGGCAGAACTGAACAAGGTCAGCACCGATGAGACCTTATCTATACTCCCTATCCCAAGGGTCTCACTAAAAAAAGCATGAAAGTAACTAGTGATTTAAATGTTTTTGGGGGGTTTTTTAATCAATAATGACACAACATAAAATGTTATTAACACTTGTCTAGATATCTTTATTGGCATTATAAATGTCCATCTTAAACTAGCAGTGACTGCATGAAGCTTGTTTGCAGTTTGAAGCTATTAAACCTTTACTGAGGAAATATGTCTTGCTTATCACTTTATATCTGTGTTTATGGTGCTATTATCTCTCTGTCTTAAAGCACAAAATGTGCATTTTTAAATGGATTATTGTCTCTACCAAGGTCTGTCCCCGAGCTCTTTGCCATATTAACTGTTTCCTGATTCTCTTTTTCCTCTGTTGATGTGTCAAATTGTACCACCTGCTGTGAAAGTTTGGACATTGGAATCAGCTCAAACTGCAGGTTATTCAGATGCCGTGTCCATATAGTTGAATTTTATTTGTCCACAGAGTGTTTTTGCTCTGAGCTTGTTAGAGTTTTTTCTCATCTTACCTCACAAAATGTCAGACTGTTTGAGAGTTTGTGAAAATAGGAAAACCTTTTTTGTTTTCCACAAAAAGTAACAATATTCAGTTCCAGTTTCTGCAGTGCTTTTGCTGTATTTCCCATCAGTCCTCAGTGTTTGTCTTCAAGCCTGTGGGCCCCCATTTATCCTCCCAAGTGACACTTCACTGCCCTTGGGTTGCATTTTATCTCTTTGGGGCTGCTGTTATCCTAGCTGTCAAAAATAGGATCAGCTATAACCCTGTTGATGCACAGAGTATTGCTGCATCATTATTTTATTTTAGACGATAACATTGATCTTAAAAACAGTCTCTGAAGTGGACCTTCACATCTCAGTGGAATACAGTCTGTGGTATCTGAATACAGAAATAGACATGACGTGATGTCTCTGTCTGAGGTTCATCAGCCTGCTCTGACTTGTATTTCACAGAGGAGTGGGAAGCCAGTGGAGGGTCTTCTCTAATTAAAAGGAGGGTAGATCAGGCGCCTCCTCTGCTGAACGTCCCGATGGCAGCCCGGTGTTTATATTAACTCCCCAAGAACAGTTGGCTGCTCACCAAGCACACCTACCGTATCCATATTTGACCATACTGGCTGACAAAGAGGGGAGTTTAAGTCTGTGTGTGCAGCTGCAGCAGCTTTTAGAGTTCATTTATCCAGCATTACAATCAAATCCTGGTCTGCCATAAACTTAAAGTATTTAGTATTTAGTAAGTAAAGTATAAAGTATTTTCTAGATGTTACAATTCTGATGTTACACAGACGTCTATCTTCACCTTATTTTCAAAGCAAGTTATCCAGTTCTGTTGTTGGAAAACAACAGCTGTAGATGAGGGAAGTTGCACATACAGTCCTGAAAATACGCAGGTGTTTAACTTACCTAGATTTAAAATATAATTTCCTGAAATTTGCAGTTGTTTTCTTTCTTGCTATCGGCAGTGGTTTGATGAGGGTGAGGTTTTATTGTAAACTAGATTTGCTGGATGAGAGATTTTTGTAGCATCTAAAATCCGTGGAAGCCAACAAGGACACGGTGAAAGTTTTTAACAATCTTCTTCAGACGTGCAGCACTAAAAATCCTTCAAACAGGAGGTTGTTTTTATGGGCATTGACAAAGTTGCAATAAAGTCTTGCAGTGCTGAACAATGTTTGTACAGCGGTTCCACAGAAAGAAATGTCACAGAGTTCTGTACGAACTCCCTGCTCTGTTCATCTTTTCCGCCCCATTCGGCTTCTTTTGTGTCTCCCCCATACCTTGCAGCATTCTGAACATACACAGAAGCTTTCTGTCAAGTAAAAAAATAAACTTAAATGATGCCCTCACATTTACATTCCCTCTCTTCTGTTTCTTCAGGATCCCCACCGATGTGGACCCCCTGACAGTCTTCGCTTCCTTATCGCCTGAGGGTGTCCTCATCATCGAGGCTCGGCAGACCCCACCGTACTACCTCTTTAGCAGCGAAGAGTCCCCAGGAGGAGAAATTCAGGAAGTAGAGGCTCCGAAACCCCAAGAGGCCCCAGCAGTCTAAACTGGCACCCCCGACTAACATGATCACATAAATCTACATAATCAGTTATGAGTTTGAAATAAAAACTGCTCACTGAACTGCCATCTTATTTAAACACTTAGAGAAGAAAATCTGAAATATTTTAGGGCAGGGAATTCCCATTGGATGTCTGTGTTAATATTTCATAAAACAGTATTTTCATACAACAAAAAGCAGGGATGTTATAGTAATACATTCTGTTTTTTTTTTCTTCCTCGAGTACAACTAAGACTATCAAGTCATATAACATTTATATTGCATAAGAAAATATTTAATTGCATCATCAATAAGTCGCAATTGGGACATTTATTTTGTAACACCTATGCAAAATCCAAATAAGTAGAAAGATAAAGAAAATTGGTTGACTTTTTTATTTCTTTATGTACACAACGAATATTTTCAATAAATAGTTTATAATTTATTTTATGTCTGCTTTTTATTTAAAGAATTTGTCCTTTATAATAAAACATAAATGAATTGAAGAAAAAACCATGGGTGATGTGATTTAATTACACTGTGTGCACTGAACGATACTAACAATTTTTAAAAAGCAACACTTTTCTCCATATATTGTTTTTTATAAGCAATATGGCTCATCACCAAGGGTGCCACTCTGTCAGGGGCACCATGTTGATCAGTAGCATTCGAAAGATAAAAGCAAGAAAAAGGTCAGACTCATCATGGATTATTCAACATTAGTCATAGACTGATTAGAAACACATTCTAAGGTTGATGAAACTTTATGTCTGAAAATGTAAAGAGACTTTTTGATGCTTTTTAGTATCTGCAAGACCAAAAACTCCAAGAATATCCAATATAAAGCTTGTTCAACTTTGTTCTGATCTGTTTTAAATCGATTACATATTTTGTTTAATTGATTCTTCTTATCTCAATATTGTAAAATCCTATATTAATCAGGTAAAATATTAATGTATTTTAATATACATTAATGCATTAACATATCTAAATTGTTCCATATAGCATTTATACCTGTTTAAACCTCTTTAGTAGACTTTTTCCTCCCCATTAGGTACCACAGGCCTTCATTGCATAATCAGGTGTTATAAATATCCCCACTTACTGATGATACTGTTTACAAATGCGAACTGCAGGGGGTGTTAAAATCAGGTTCCAAGTTAACAATTTGCGTGTGCAGCTTGGTGTATTAGAAATCCTTGAGTAGAAGGTTAATTCATCCATTTTAACATAGATCTGTTAGTGACACAGGGAATGACTGTGCCTTAATGTCTTTATCATAAAGAGGACCTGGATGGTTCATCTTTGTATGCATTGACAATATGTTGTATATATACATTTTAATTGGTGCAAAATTGTTTGATGTATTAATTTGAAGTGAGCATTTTTCTATTTATGATTGCATGCTTGCTTGATGGACAATTGACTTATTTGTGAAAAGCAGTTCGTTTTCTGCAATCCTCTCTGTTGATGTCTTTTTACTGAGAAATGCAATTAAAGTGTCCATCCTACATTTGTGTGTTTTTATTTGAAAATAAAGAAAAAAACAACATCAGTCACAGGCCTTGTTCCAGGGATCTGGAGAACCTGTGGCGTTACTGTTGGACAGCAGTAGGAACTGGGCGGCAGCTTAGTGAGGAGCTTGCTGGCTCCGATAGGCACCGCTGTGCGCTGGCTTCAGGATGGACACAACTCGCTCATGGGCCCTGCCAGGGCTTTTGAAAGAGGATGGAAAAAAATTGGGGCTGTTCCACTGACTATTGTGTGATGCAAAATAACGTAATCTTCTCTGTGTGCTGGAATCGACGGGGATAATTGGTGCAAATTTAAAAAGTTTCCAACCGGAGCTGCGCTCTGAAAGGATAAAAAGACTCTCTTGCTTCTGTGTTGGCAAAGACATTGTGTGAGGTGTTGCACTCACACGAACTGTTACATTTACTGCCGTTAGGTTACATGTGTGGACTTCACTTAAGCTGTTTCTATAGTAACAGCATTAGTGAATGAATTGTGCTTTTCAATGAGCAACTTATTGATGTCAAAGTGACAAAGAAAAAGATGTGCAAATAGAATTTGCACATCAACGTCATAACCTACTTCTGATTAAAAATAAATAAATAATGAGGTTAAGTTACTTTAATCTTGAACCATGTAGTTTTTAGTGGTTAACTTTAGATGTAATAGATCAACACAAATTTTACTTTCACATGATACTACTTTATTAGAGCTCCAAACACAGCAGGCTTTAATGGCGCTATAGCTAATGACAAAAAGGCATCTGTGGAGCTGGTTTAAGGCAGGCAATGCAGGCTAATACTCTTGTGTTTAGTCGGTGTGCTGTTGCTCTATGTTAGCAGCCTCCAGCTCCTGGCTTTGGATGTCACTCAGCGGAGCTGATCCCAGCTCCTGCTCCTGAGGGGGAGCGAGCTCCTCGGCTCCCTCTGCCTTCACCTGGATCTCTTCATCCACGACTGGCTCTTTGTGTTCCAGGAGCTTGGATGTACCCAGGCTTTCTTGGCTTTCTGGGACTTCGTGGTGCTCAGAAGACTTTTGGATGCTCTCTAAGCATTTATCTTCCTCAGGCAGTGAAGGATGGGACTGTCCAGCTGGCTTTTCTCTGGTTTCCTTGTCTCCCTGCTCCAGGCCAGCTGTGGTGCTGCTGGGCTGGACCGGATCACTGCAGGCCTCTAATTGAGACTCTTCCTCCTGACCTTCTTGTTTTGTTTCTTGTTCTCCATTGCCCTCAACCTCCACCTGAATTTGCAGACAAATATGAAAATAAGTGAGCATGTTGCTTACAGCTTTATTGTAATAATAATAATAAAAAAAAAAACTCAATTTAAATAACCACAGTATTAGGATATGTGTGAATATAAAACTCTCACCATTATTATTTTTGGTTGTTTTATATATTTGAAATATGTTTCAAATACAATTTCTTGTATTTATTTCAAAATATGAAGTTTTCTTTGCATTTTTGCATGGCATTCTGGGGACATTTACATTGCTTTCCTGAGGATGAGATGGGGGGCAGTAGTGACGAAAAGGAACCTTTATTTGGGGGGCGTTGCTTCCGGGTTGGTTTTAGGGCGGACTTCCTGTTTGCCTCAGACGCAATGTGCTGAAGGCGCCATTTCGGCTGTCATTCCTGAAGCCTGTTTTACTATATTTCAGATCAGTACACGGTGAAAACGCATCAAAACGTCTTTGTAATATTTTTACCTTTTATTTTAACAGTAAATAGCACTGTGTTGCAGTTTTTGTGCACCTTTATGCTAATGGTTGTAAGTTTTATATGTCGAGGTTTAGATTGACAGGATGCCAACACCCGCTGTGGAAGTTGAGCAGCGTTAAGAGATCGTGATATCTTACTAACTCCAGGTTTTAGGAAGTTAGTCAGCCACAAATGACAAATGTTGGTCACTCTGACAAGAAGAAACGAGCTCAATCCAACAAGTGCTTATTGGAAAGAAAGCCATTAAATCTTCTCTTTGTTGCCATGAACATTCCTAAGTGGAGTTATGGGAGATCCCACTAGTTGCAGGATCTCAGTATCTCTCTGCATTGAGACTTCTTGTAGTGATAACAAGCTGACATCAGTATTGAGGGAGATGTTGTCCAACTCTACCACACTACCTCCATCAAAATATGGTTAGCATTGGCAGAGATTACTTTTTCTTTTCATGGGTGCAATCCATATGATCAACTCTGCAACTCAACCCATAATTGTCCTCAGAAATGTGGCACCACTTAAGACAAAATAACAGGCTTTCAGTATAACAGTATATGATTTATTGCCAAAAAGCACTTTTTCAGAAGGAAACAGATTGGCAAAGCATAACTTTTCTTGCTTTTTGTGTTAATGTTGCTTGGCAACAGATTTCTCAAGCTAATTGCAGCTTGTCATTTTTGCACAATATATTATCTTACAAGTCTTGACATAGATTACTTCCACAAATAAGATTTAAGTATTGCTATTTCCATTTTTAGGTCTTGTTTTCAGCTCATCCGAGTGTTTTTATCTTCTCAAATTGAAGATTAAATAAATGAAAACCATATTTTACTATTTGTTAAGCTTTAAAGAAGTTTCATATGTGATAACCTTTATTGGGATGATGATGGCAGCAGGAGCTGAGGCTTCAGGAAGTGGAGCTTCTACAGTCAGGAAACCATCAACGGAGAGTGAGGACTCAAGTTTGGTAACGTTCACTTGAGCTGGAAGCCTTCAAATCACAAACTCTTGTTTAGACCACCACACCAAACACTGTTAACACTGAAACAAATGTAGATCTCTTTTATTTTTCTTGCTTGAGCATTTCAGAAATCAATTATTAATAAAATAAATAAGGGGGATCAACATCAGTGATAGCTTAATCCTAAATATCAGCAAGCTAATGTCTGTGGCTTCTTTGTCTACCTGTATTTTCTTGTAAAACATCTGGCGATAAATCCATGCTCGTCAGGCCTCTCCTCGTGTTTCCCTGGGGAAAGATTAGTGTTTATAGGGAGGTACACGAGGACACAGAAGAATCAAACGACACTGAGAAACCACTCAGCACAGAAATTAATTTCTTCCACAGAGCTGTGATTTTAATTTCCCCAAGCACGATATTTAAGCAGCTTTCTAAATTTGTAGCGTTCAGCTTTTTCTCCATCGCAGTTTCAGATGTTCGTCGTTTATTCTGTGAAGTGCGGGGAAAGTATTTTTAGAAGACTCTTCTCCTTCCTCAGATGATGATGTGAGATAAGATTATTAATGCTTTATCAGGATTAAAAATCTGCCTTGTGAGTAAAACTAATTAACACTTATGCCAGACATTTTCAGAGGGGTTAATTAACAGAGCAGTACCTCCAACTTCCAGGAATCCATCCCTGACACTGACGGAGATCTCCGAGGGGGAAAAGTGAGACACATCCATGCTGACCCTCCACTTACTGACCTTCTGACCGGAATGAGGCATCGGCTCGGAGATGTAGGGCACAAACAGAGGCGCCGGTAAGCAACCCGGCCAGGACCAGGCTGCCAAGCCCTTCTTGATCCAACGAGAATCCCCAGTCTCCAGGAAAGGCGGCAGGCCAACATCCTGACTGGAAACCCATTTTCTCAGAGGGTATAGAGGGCCAACCCTGTCATACTCCCCACAGGACATTTCTTTAATTGTCTGCTCACGCTCACTCAAATGGATACAAAGTAAACCTTGCTAAACGGCAGAGAGTAGCTTGTGGATTTAAAGATCAACAAAAACAAAGGAAATGCCCAAAAGCTAAGTGAGCTGACAGAGAAATGTACATAGGGGTTTTATATAGAGCAGGGTGTGCAGGCATGAGGTGATGGGCGTGGATCGTAAACGGTTACCTCTTGCTGACCGTGTGAATGTAATTGTTTATATTTATAACTTTTAAAGATGTGATGGCAAATAGCAGGAAGTTCACAGTGGCCGGGGTGTGTTTGAACCACTGCATCTGTTTCCCGAAGATCATACTTGTCACATCCCAGTGAACTCTGTTCTGCCAGCGATGACTTCGCTCCTTAGCCTGGTCATGAGCCAGTCTTACAGCCTCACCCCCTCCACACACACACTCTCTCTCCCTGTGTTTCACCCCTCAAAGGACACAGTGGCAGCAGTTTGTCTGAAGCATAAAATACCTCTGCCAGAGGCTGAAAAGCACAGAAAAGGCTGGATTTCTGTTAGCCACAGTATCGGTAGCACATGTGTATTGAGTGCACAAAGCTGCATCCCAACCCAATTTTTCTCTTTCTGTGCCGTTTCAACAGGATTATTATTGTTCCCGTTTTTATCAAGTATGACAGACATGTCAGTGATTCATTTTTGGAGCTGTGAGCTCTGATATCTTGGCATACTGTCCATTGGAGCACAAAACAGATGGAACAGATGTTTCTGACACTTTGTGCAATGCTTGACCCAAACACTGCATCTGTAGGATATGCTCTGAAGGGCTAAGTCAGGATTCTTTTTCTGAGTTTTTTCTCAATTTTAACCTTTATTTGGAATTTTTATTTTTAAAAATGTGCCTCCATGTAAATTAAATGTAATCAATTAACGTATCGGAAACTTGCAAAATCATAATAATTTTGTTATGATCTAATTGCCATTAGATCATAGCAATTTGTTTAAGGTGTCGTTATCATAGTGTATTCATTTCTCTCCTTGCAGAAAATGTGTTTTTTTTTTTTTTAAATCACCTTTGACTGTCAGAAATGAAAAACATTTTAAAAATCATTGTAGTTCTTGGAATGGAGCCAGTTTTCATGCCTGGTTCATTATGTTTTATGGTTGTGTTTGAGGACTCTCCAGAAGCCCGCTGCTTTATCGACTCCATTTTATAATGATGCTTGCTTGTAGTGCGACATTCCTTGAGTGTTTGTTTGTGTTTGATCATTTTCTTTAGGGTTATTTATATTCCATAGGTCATTTAGTCAGTTCATTTGTCTGTGCTTCTTATCATTGCCAAGGTGTTGCCATACTAGTTTATTCCCTTATCTTTGGTTTGTTTCTTTATTTTTGTGTTGTGTTTCTTGTACATTTGAATTTATTTTTCTTATATTACTGTGAGATTCAGTTCAGCTTCCTCTGTGTTAATTCGTCTGTCTCAGTTTGCTCATTGCCACAACTGTACCACATTTATTCTGATTAGTTTTTCTGGTTCTTTCGTCTCTTTACAACCTTTCCTTGATATTTAGGCTTCTGAGTTTTTGTTGCTCAGTGCTGGATTCTTCCATTTTAATGCCATGTCCGTGTTCCTTGTCCATTTAACCTTATGCAAGACATGTAGATTTTCTTTTATTAAATCTTCCGAAAAAAAGCATCTTTCTGCACATAAACTCTGTCTCTACCATACATGCAATGAGACTCAATTATGTCCATATTTCAGCAATCTTGCTCTTAATTGAAGTTTCAGTGTAACTTTCATTATTCCCTGCAATTTCTTAAATTTAAAACTCCCAGATTGATTTCATATACATCTCTTGACACCAAATAGATCAGTTTTTGCCTCATCTGTCGACTCGGACAGTAACACTGGAGTTCCAGAAATGTCCTTTTTATGATTGGTTTGAGCCTTGGCAGTTCCAATGTATAAACTTTGTCCATAAAAAAATCAATTAGAATTAATTGTACACAAACCCCCAAAATAATTCATGCCATTGATGAGTGTATGTGCATTTTTCATTGGCATCGTATGAACTTATTTTACATTTGTGTTACGTTGTAGTTTTATATTGTGTTCTTTCCTCGTAGAATCGTATCAAAAACGTGCTTTTTTTACTATAAAAGTATAAACCATCTTTCTGGTTGGCAATAAAGATTTTCTGACATCCAGGGCAGCCGAGTCGTATTTTAAAAATTGAGCATGAAAAGATAATGTTGAGGAAGCTGCTGATTGTCCCTGTAACTGAATCAGATAGTTAATGTACCAATTTATATTCAAAATTCAGATTTTTACCCCTATCTTCTCTCCTCTTATCTCTGCTGTTCTCCACGCTTAGTGAGGTTTATTTTTAGATAAATGTTGTGAATGTTTGGGCCTGCAGCTGTGTGAAGTATAAAGACATTTTTTACACTTGCTGCTGATGCATATGAAGGTTGCAGATGGAAATAAGCCACTTATTGCTTCCTTTCTCCATTGTTTTCTTGTTGTTAATTAGTGACAAGAGTTATGGTTGATCCAGAAAACACTCAGGTACCTTTTGAAGGTAAACATTGAAGCCAAGTCTTTACTTTTCAATACATGCAAATAAACACAGGTTTAGTTTTCTTTCATAAATGAGGAAAGCGGTGATCAGGAGATAAAGCATGAGCCGGTGGACTTATGAAACAGAAACAGAAAATTAGTATTGATTTTGAAATATAACTCTACTTGTAATTTTGATTGATCGCACACTAAGGTGATTCTAGCAAAAACATATGACCTGAATTATTTTCAGCCATTTTAATCAAAGTTTTTCAGTATAACTTTAATCTAATGGGGTGATTTAAATTTGAGGGGGGAAAGACAAAGCACATCATCTGGTTTTTACAGTAATGGTCTGTTTTGCTGATTTTTTGTATTTTTTTTACTTAACTGTACAATTCTACAAATTTTTACCAAGATTGTAATGGACTGGGAAATTATAGTTTAAAAAATTGCTTAAGGAGTAGCTACAATTGCTCACAGAGTGTTGTGAAATAATAAAGCCATTTTTTTCTAACTCAGTGATGCTTGGTGCAGAGCGATGCTAATGATCCTCAAGTTTTATATATTCCTGTCCTGCTGCTTTCCCTGGTACCAACTGGTACCAGGGATTGAGTTTATGGCATTTGGCTTTGAAGCCAAGTGCCATAAAATTTATGTTTGAGTTTTTTTCTTTCTCTAAATAAATGTACAATGCTGATTTCACAATATTTTGTGGAAAACTAAGGACTCCCCAGCAACCCTTGGCCCTCTTCAAATCCAAGTTTTTTACTTTTACAAATACTGTCACAAAACTGTAGTCAGTGTGAATTAACACAATCCGGCTATTTCATTGTTGTATTTCATTGTAATTTTTTAGAGATCTAAATTTTAGTGCTAGTTCCCATTATTAAGAGCTAAATTTAGCTCTTAATAATGGGACTCAGTCAAATCCCATGTAGATTTGACTGAAGTAAAAGTGAAAAACCTGGTAGGTTACAGGAAAGTAGAGACTAGGGATGTTGTTACTCTTGAACAGAGTGCTATAGATGTTCAAGACTCTTTGGACCAACATTACATATTTGTTATATTTTCAGCTCATGCAGTTCACTTTCACATAGCACAGAGTCAAACGATCTAAACTACTTGGAAAAACGTTTTCCCCCTCTTGCCTGTGGTGGCGCTGCACCAAGAACTACTGAATGAAACAACACAAAAACCTCTGAAGAAGACATGAGTGCAACTTCCTTCTTCACAAAATATAAATTAAAACGGAGTAGCGTCAGAATTTAGCTTGTGTGGGATTTCTCTCTTGTCTTTGGTAAAGGACCACAAGCCATTTCTCCCTCTAGTTAACTTGCGCATTCACATCTTCCCAAACAAACCAGACTTTTGAGACAAATGAACTAGAGTTTGATTAAAGCAGACTAAAGTAAAATGAATGCACCCTTTATTTTGGAGACATATGAACCAAACAGAAACCAGTATTCCTATATAGGATTGAAAATCTTTTTTGTTTTAGCTATCCTTTAAAATAAATAAGACTAAAGTCAGATGTATGACAGCTTGGTGGTTTATTTGAAGACTTGTGAATGAGACTGAGACCTCAGAATGTGTTTTCTCACATGGGTTTCATTTTGATGCCTTAAATCAGGATTAAATTCACAGCTCCTCGGTGGTTTATTTATCTCACCCCAGATAAATGCTTTAATTCTGCAAAACCTCAAACGCTCTCTTTCCCAGCCATACATGTTTCATTGTTGGTGATTCATCTCTTCCCAGCTGGCAGCTACTAAGCGTCAGAGAGCCTTAATGGTCACTCCTGTTTTTCTTTCTCCTTCTCTCTCTCTTGAATCCCTCTCCGGTGATATTTTTATATCTCTTCGTGTCTGTCACCCCTTTCATTTCATGGCAGGGCTTCTATCTCTCAGTCATCAGTCTACCCCCACTTTCCACCGGCTTCATGCATCCATCCTCTCGTTTCACTGGATACGGCTCATTCTCCATTCTCGAGGACACCGGATGTGTTGCAGATTCTTTTTATTCCTTGGATGAACAAGATTCTTTGGACTTGTAATCAAATAAAAGAAAAAGCACACTTAGGACACCGGTTTACTTTTAAACAGTCTCTGTGATTTGAGTAAAACAGGATCTTTAAATGTCCTCTGGGCAGAGTCACATTTCCTAATCGGTAAAAGAGATTCTGTCTCTGATCTCCCACACTAACCAAATACATTTGAAGTTGGACATTGCCATTTGTGATATGATTACAGCCACCTTTGTTCATGGGAGGTCTCAGCAGAGGCCAGTTACACCAAATCAGGAGGCTTCAGACAAGCTGCCACAGATCCATGGTATATTAGTTGATAATGCATCAAGGGGGATGAAGTGTCAAATGGCTGCTTTGCTCCTGTGGACGTTGCATTCATCATAGTTATTGCGAAACTGGAGCAGTTGCGGAAACCGGCAGCCTGGCCTGGAGGATAAAGAGAGGTGGTGGGCATCAAAAGTGATGCATCAAGATGGAGTTGCTTATCTGTGGAAATATATTTTTTGGAAAGCATAGTTTTACTTTTTTTATTGTCACGAGGATGAATCAATCAATCCGCAGCAAAGCTGTGATTTACCATAAAACAATGTTGCCTGAAGAAATGTGCTCTCAGGATCGTTGTCAATCCACAAGTACTGTAGATTACAAAGGAAGATGAAAATATTCCCATCTGTTGTTGTGTGTTATTGCATTTATATCAGCCCTTCACAGTGTTGTTAGAACAAATGTGATACTTAACCGCTTCTTTCAGAGCTGCTGAATACACGCTTGGAGCCACTTGGCAGAACATTTTCTTAAAGAACCAATTTTTAGAGCAACATGAATTTTGTCTGTGCATTGGTGTGCGCACATATAGTATTCATATGCTGAGATCTCTATTCCCACTGAAGTAGCAGAAAGGCAGCGGCAGTGTTCCGCTTTGACTCGAAAGAGATTTGCAGTAAATGAGCTCATCCATCAGCAGACGCATGTGGGGGACAAGGGGATGATGATGGAAACGGAGGGGGTGAGGAGGAAGATGAAGAGAGACAGCAGGCTGGGGGGAATGGGGGGTGAGGGGGGCTGTGGACGAACAGAGGCAGGACTCAAAGAGATGCCTCACATTAAAACGTGATAGCTGTGGCATTTCCACACCCTGAAACAGAATTTCTTCTCCGTTTCTTTGGATGTTTCAGCTTGAAGGCTCGAGTTCAGACTGTTCCTCGTTGGGATGGTCTGAAGATTGGCCATGTATCTGAAAAGTCATGACATTTAGGAGACTGTTTTCAACACAAACATGTCCTTTTCTGTTGTCGGCTGCACTCTTCATTAAAGTTATATAACTTTTTATTTATTGTCAGTAAAATGCATATCTTAAAATGCAATGAAGTGGTAAATATGAACAAAGGTGAGCATGACAAAGA